CCTTTTACCTTTCTTTCTTTCTTTCTTTTTTCTCTTTGTTTCTTTATTTCTTTCTCTTTCTTTCCTTCCTTCTTTCTCTTTCTCTTCCTTCCTTCCTTTCTTTCCCATTCCATTCATCTTTTCTTTCATTCTTTCTTTCTTTCTTTCCCTCCTTCCTTCTTTCCCTCCCTTTTACCCTTTTCTTTCTTTTTTTCTTTCTTTTTTTCTTTCTTCTTTCTTTCTTTCTTTCTTTCTTTCTTTCTTTCTTTCTTTCTTCCTTCCTTCCTTCCTTCCTTCCCTCCCTCCCTCCCTCTCCTTCCGTATGGAGCATTGCAGGCATACTCTGCCCACTGCCAGGAGTTTGATCCTGACCGTCTCAACATTGATTCATCCTTCCCTCCATCCAAAATTGGTAAAACGAGGACCCAGGCTGTTAGGGGCAGCAGGCTGACACTGTAAACTGCTTAGAGAGTGCTCTAAAGCACAGTGAAGCAGTATATAAGTTTAAGTACTATTGCTATTTGCTCATTTTCTCCAGAAAAATTTGGGGTGACCCTTTGTGAAATCTAAGATACCTGTTCAACACTTAATTAGCCCGTGCCTGCATAACTGTCAGCAATTCCACAGTCAACTTTGTGACTGGAACATGTGCAGATGTGCTTTAAACCCCAGCCCTAATTCTTCCTCTGTTTCCTTTCGGATTGTTCTCATTTTATTATTGGGCCTGATGAAGAGAGTGTAGTAGTTTGTGGCTGGTTTACTAGAGGTAGCATCTTAATATAGATTTCATTTTCTTTCTTAGGGACAATATGAATACTTTTATTTTTTCATTGTAATATTACAGGACAGGATAGATCAAACCATCCTGATTAGCCCAGAAAGAGATTTGTGCTTAGAAAGCTTTTCTAGCCAGGAAGATAATAACTTCTCCACTGCAATGTTCAGCATTTTCCAGGGCTGCTAGAATACAAAAGACCCTGATGTGGAAGAATTAATACTCCAATTAAACTGTTCATAGCAACTTAAAAGTCATTTTGTTCGGCAACGATGGGCAGAAATTCATCTTCTGGTGTTCTCTGTCTAAAATCTTTTCCTCCTTTCTCTTTCTCTGCCATTAACTTTTTAGAGTTACATCAATCACCTCTTTATTGTTTTCAAGGGCTCCCTTTTAACATTTTTATTGTTCCTTATCCTGATCGGATTCTGATTCGTGCTAGCAGTTCCTCCCTCATATGCTCACATATTTCTTTTCAAGGGAGAGTCTTAAATGGCACTTCAAATTTGTTAGATTTACAGACCTAAAAGAAAGCCACACGACTTTCCAGAGTATCCTGAAGTTTGCTTGCTATTCCGCTCCTTCAGTTCACCAATTAAAGAGATTTGATTTCTTGAGCTGCCTTATATTTTAAACTTTCATCGAATCGGCTCGCTGGATTTTAGCTGCAACTGAATAAAACCATCAAGGCCGCGACAGTAGCGGGCTACTTGGTGAACGGCTTTGGCCCCATCCGTCACTGTCACGGTTCGCCAGCGCTAAAGGGACCCCCATCTTTTATCGCATCATGGTTCACATACAATTATTATGTTTTGCAGGATTTCAGTATCTTTTTCTTTAAAAAGTCTGTTTGTTTGCTCACACGTGGGTGCGACCTCCCCCCGTCCCCAGTTCATACATATACCCAGTTCATTTTAATGTGATTCTTAAGGTTGCCAGGAAAACATCTAAAACAAATAAAAATAAAAGCAATATCCATAGCTATGCAGCTTGATGTGAATATTGAAAAGGGGGTTATGATTGCCCCGAGTTAAGATTCTGAGATATTTTGAGGATAATCGATACAGACCTGTTAATTGACGATCAGGGGTAACTAAAGCATCCCCATGATTTCAGCCCATTATTGAATGGATTAAGATATATCTATGGATATCATTGAACGGATAAAGATATATATTGGAGAGAAGCATGCTGGCCTAGCGGAGAAGATGGTTGCCCCCCACTCAGGTTGAGAATTCAATCCTAGATAGCAGCCAATCATTTCTCTCCCAGGCAGACAGAAAAATAACATTTGCTGTGAACTCTGTGCGGGTGTCAGGAAGGGCATACAGCCAGTAAATGCTCAACTCCATCCAGTTGTCCTGACTCCACCCCGAATTAAAGGAGTATAAAGTCACATAAAGCCAGGGTTTGTTTTTTATCGAACGGATAAAGACGGAAGTACTAACAGAACGCATCCAGATTTCAAAAGGCACATTGCGTTAAAAAAAATATAATTAAACCAGAAGATGGATTTGCAAGGTTAGAAAAATTTAGCGGCCAACCTCAGAAAGAGAATACAAATTGGTTTCAGCATAAGAAACAGATGGCGTCAGGAAGACATAACAATTGATGGTGCAGAAAGTTCAGATATGCATGAATAAAAAATTACGGAGAGTTGCCTGATTCACCTGTTATGTAGGGAAAAGGAGAAAAACAGACCCATTACTCAAAGCATGTAGTTTGTAAGTCTCATGCAGGGTAACTGAGCCAAAACTTTACAAATCTGTCCTACTGGAAACTCAGGTTTCTCCCCATGCTAACTTCCTGAAGAGGCAGGGGGGGAAATTGCCTAAGTTTCACAGGTTATTAACCACTTCTGCTTCATCTCTAGCATCGTCAGTGTTATCGGATTAAATACCAAATGGAAATATATGTGTGTTGTAAATATGGATCAGAACGAGAATACAGAACCGCATTGAAGGTTCAAAGCCTACATTTTGGGCGTACTTCCTGTGTGCCAGTAGCTGTGAACAATTGGGTTTTAGAAATAAAATATGCACCTGTAAGAGACTGGATTGGAAGATGGAGGCTCTTTGTGTTTAATATTGTGCAGTAATTCCCACGTTCGCTCCGGAAGGAAAAGCAAAAAATTCACTCCCCCTGATTCAGAGCAAAAGGTCTCAATTGTGTAATTAAGAATGAAGTAATCTACAAAGCTCTTTTTTGGATTCCACTCTCATCTCTTTGATTAGCTTGGAAGGACTGTTTAGAGAACGCTAACTCAACAGTTTGAAGGGATTGTGTGCTGCAGTGTAATTGTACTGTACTGAAATTCAAAATCACTATGTCTTAAACTGCCACATTAAAACACCCAGATTAGGAGACTAAACCAAAGAGGCCTAGGCTATTTGTTCACAACTAAAGACACTCTGCAATCAGAGCAACAATTTATTCTAGTTTTGCTAGCATGAGGTAGAAGTTGGATCAATTCTACGTCAACACATTTTCACGTGGAAAAATGTTCACCATTGCCAGCTGCACTTCTACTAATGGCTTACAAGCTGGTGTAGGAAACGCCAGATCCTAATCAGAATCTTAACAGCAATATGTTCTACTCCATATTCCATTCCATTCCATTCCTATTCCTATTCTATATTCTATTCTATTCCAATTTCTGTTCTATTCTATTCTATTCTATTCTATTCTATTCTATTCTATTCTATTCTATTCTATTCTATTCTATTCTATTCTATTCCAACTCCTATTCTATTCTATTTTTATTCTATTCTATTGTAATTTCTATTCTATTCTATTCTATTCTTATTCTATTTTATTTTATTCTAAATTCTATTCCATTTCCAATTTCTATTCTATTCTATTCTGAAATAAATCCATCAAATATAAGGGGAATTTTTAAAGGAAACATCTGGGTAAGGTTGACCTTGAGAAACATCCAGCTGTAAACCACCATATGATACGCCCAAGAGAGTTTGATTATAGTTCCTCTTTGGCACTAGCATCTTATTTTGTGCAGATAATAGTAAAACATAAAGCTAGCAAACCCAGACTGAGGCTTTAAAACAAGAGGTGGGTTGAGAATGTAGAAATTGGTTTCCCGCTGTTTTGAAGTTTTGGATGTAAATTTGGGGATGAAAGAAGTCGGTGTCCGTGTTCTCCTTTGGGGTGACCTCTCTCTGCATGGCCCACCTTTAAAGATCTCCTAGGATCCATTCATGCTGCTGGATTGTTTTATACTATTTTACTGAAATCCTACTTGATTAGACAAAATAAAGATGGATGATAGGATGGAAAGATGAAGTCAAGATGAGGGTAAGGGCTTTCTTGGAAAATGCTTCTTACTAAATCTTCCCTTCCCATTCTAGGAATTCCCACGTGGTTTCCATCCCTGGACAGGAAGTCCTCAACTTACGACGATGCATTTAGTGACCAAAGTCCAACAGCACTGAAAAAAGGGACGTGGGCCCTTTTTCACAGTTAGCACTTGTTGCAGCATCCCCACGGTAACGTGATCCACATTCAGATGCTTGACAACTGACTCCTATTTATGACGGTCCCAGGGTCACGGGATCCCCTTTTGCGACCTTCTCACAAGCAAAGTCAATGGGGAAGCTGGATTCACTTAACGACCGTGTTAATCTTAACAACCACAGGGATTCATTTAACAGCTGTGGCTAGGAAAGTCGTAAAATGGGGCAAAACACCCTTAAGAAATGCCTCGCTTAGGAACGCAGATTTTGGGCCTCCATTTGTGACAGCAAGTCGAGGACCGTACAGGCGGTCCTCAGCTTACGACCACCATGGAGCCCGAAATTTCTGTTGCTAAGCGGGGCAGCCGTCGGGTGACCTAGGCCCCATTCGGTGACCTTCCCTGGCGCCGCCGTTCCATGAAGCACTGCAGTTGTTGAGCGAGTAACCCGGTTGTTAAGTGAATCGGGGCTTCCTGGTCGAGATCCCTTGTTCGGAAGGTCGCAAAAGGTGGAACACGAGACCCCGGCGGATAGTGCAACCCGTCCTAAGTATGAGTCAGTTTCCAAGCCTCTGAATTTTGACCGCCTGACTCTTGGGGACGCTGCAACGGTCGTTAAGTGTGACAGACGGTCGTAAGTCCCTTTTTCACGGCTCGGAGCGGCCAGGACCCCCGTGGTAACTTGGCACGGTCGCTAAGCGAAGCGTTGCAAGTCGAGGACCCCCTGGGTGAAGCCTCCCTTCCCACCCCGGCCTCCCCGCGGCCCTCCTCCCGAGGCGGGCGAGGCGGCGGCGAGGCTCCGGCAGGGACCCGCCTCCCGCCCGGCCGAGCAGCCCGCGTCGCTGCCTCCGAGGCGGCCGGAGGAGGCGGCGGAGGGCGGCCCGGCCATGAACGGCAGCCGCCGCGAGAGCGACTGGCAGGGGCTGGTGGGCGAGGTGAGAGGCCGGGCGGCGCGGCTGCCGGGAGGGACGGAGGGAGGGCGGGCAGGCGGCGCTCGGGGCCCGGCTCGGCCTGCTGCGATCTCGGCCCGGGAGGCCCCGGGAATCCCCTCCCCGCTTCGCCGCCGCCGCCGCGGCTGCCGGCCAGGCTGCTGAGTTGGGGGGCCTTGTTTAAGGAGGAGGCGAGGGGGAAAGGGAGAAGGAGAAAGAGGGAAGAGGAGAGGGAGAAAGGGAGGAGGAGGAGAAAGGGAGGAGAAAGAGAGAGGGAGAAGGAGAAAGGGAGGAGGAGAGAGGGAGAAAGGGAGAAGGAGAGGAGAAGGAGAGAAGGAGAAGGAGGAGGGAAGAGAAAGAAAGGAGAAAGAAAGAAGGAGGAGGAGGAGGGAGAAGGAGAAAGGGAGGTGAAGGAGGGGAGAAGGAGAAAGGAAGAACGAGAAAGGAGAAGGGGAAAGGAAGAGAAAGAGGGGAAAGGAGTAGGAGAAGAAGGAGAAAAAGAAGGAGAAAGGAAGCGGAAGCAGGGAGAAGGAGAAAGGGAGAACAAGGAAGGGGAAAGGAAGAGGGAGAAGGAGTAGGAGAAGGAGAAAGAGAAGGAGGAGGAAGGAGAAGAAGAAATGGAGAAGGAAGAAGGAGAAGGAAAAAGATGGAGAAGGAGAAAAAGGGAGAGGGAGAAAGGGAGAAGAAAGAGGGAGAAGGAGAAGGAGAAAAGTTAGAAGGAGGAGGAAGAGGGGGAAGCAGGGAGAAGGAGGAGAAGGAAGAAGGAGAAAGAGGAAGAAGGAGAAGGAGGAAGAGGGGGAAGCAGGGAGAAGGAGAAAGGGAGAATGAGAAAGAGGGAGAAGGGGAAAGGAAGAGGGACAAAGGGAAAAGGAGGAAAGAGAAAAAGAAAGGGAGAAGGAAGAAGGAGAAAGAAAGAGGGAGAGGGAGAAAGAGGGAGGTGGAGGAGCGGCCTGGGCCAAGCGCTCCCTTCTGCTCCCAAATCTGCAGGCAGAGGAGGGCTCCCCTTGCCCTGGGCCCTCCAAGGGATTCCCAGAATGCATCTGGGGCTCTCGCCCTGGGCCTAGAGTCGAGCCCTGGGGAATTCGGGGTGGGGGGGTGTTCATCCTTCAGCTGGCATGGGGGGGGGGGCTCTGCAGGGCTTTGGAGCTGCCACAGAGTTGCGGGCTTCTCCTGTGAAAGGAAACAAATTGAGAACAATTAGCCAGTGGAACAGCCTGCCACCAGAGGTTGTGGGTGCTCCATCACTGGAGGTTGGACAGTCACTTGTCTGAAATGGTGTAGGGTCTCCTGCCTGAGCAGGGGGCTGGACTAGAAGACCTCCGAGGTCCCTTCCAGCTCTTGTTATTCTGGATTCTATAGGATGCCTCGGGAAATCAATGTGCAGGTTGCGATTGTTCTGTAACTCACATGGTGTACTTTCCGTTGAGTGGCTACACACACACACCCAGCACATTGGAGCAATTGTTGAATGTAACCTTCCTTGTCAAGCCACTTGTTGACTTAAAGAACTAACCCAACAGGTTCTGGACAAGTCGGCCAAAATGCAAAAAAAACCCCCCCCCCCAAAAAAACAGCAGGAATCAGCTTACTCTGTGTGGACGTAGCGGCTCACTCTTGCACTATGGGAATTCCTCAACTTTACGATCACGGCTGGGTCGAGGATTTCTGTCGCTAAGCGAGACAGTGGTTAAGTGAGTTTGGCCCCATTTTGTGATCTTTTTTTGCCACAGTGGCTAAGTGAATCGCTGCGGTTGTTAAGTGAGCAACATGGTTGTTAAGTGAATCCGGCTTCTCCCCCCCCATTGACTCTGTTTGTCAGAACATTGCAAAAGGGGATCACGTGATCCCCAGGACGCAGCGACCGTTGTAAATATGAATCGCTTGCCAAGTATCTGAATTTTGATCATGTGAATATGGGGAAGGCTGTGACGGTCGTAAGCGTGAAAAATGAACATGTCATTGTTTTCCCTCCCTCCCTCCCTCCCTTCCTTCCTTCCCTCCTTCCTTCTTTCCTTCCCTCCTTCCCCCCCTCCTCTCCTTCCTCCCTCTCTCCCTCCCTCTGGTCCGTGGTCCTGGCCCTGGATGCCCGGGTGCTCATGCTAGCCTTGAGATTCTTTAAAGCTGCAGTCCGCAGTTGCCTCCTAGGAAAATGTCACACAAGGTTTTATGTGCACGGAGTGACTTTGAGGCCAGAGCAAATAAAGGTTCAGAGGAACCCCTGCAACAAAAGCAACAAAAGCAGCTTGTGTTTGCACTGTGTGTGTCCATAAAGCTGGGGTGTAATATTTAACCAACCTCCGCTTGATATCTAAGAGCTAAGCCGAGTCATACCTGCTTGGGATTTGAATTGAAAATTGCCAGGACGTTCCAGACTTGGACAGAAAACTATCCGGATGTTGGGGAATCCGGGAAATTGAAAACATCCTGCAAAAACAGAAGGCAAAGCTGTCGTTGCATTATTGCCAGAGAAACAATATAAACAATATAAATTCTGAAAGGAGAATTTGCCTCCTCACATTTAATTCAATTCGTTGTCCTTTTCTACTTTCGGGGACTTCCCTATCGATTTAATGTCTAATGCCAACCTGGGTCTGGTTATTTGGGTTTTCTCCCACGTCAAATTGGAAGTGTCTTGGCGATGTTTCGACGAAGTCTCATTCGTCATCTTCAGGCTGGTGTTTTCGGCTTCGTGCTTCTCCTAAAAGCAGGAAGCCGAAAACACCAGCCTGAAGATGATGAATGAGACTTCGTTGAAACGTCATCAAGACACTTTCAATTTGACATGAGAGAAAACCTGAATAACCAAAGACCTATATATATATATATATATATATATATATATATATATATATATATATATATATATATTGTTCCCAAGAAGATGGCAGCATTTAGCTGACCCCTGGCTAATTTTTTTTTAAAGAACAAAGAATTGGAGCTACTGAATGGGAGACCACCAAAAGATCTCAGGGCAGTAGCTTAAATTGGGAAAATTATGAAAATGCTGGGTTTTTTCTTTTAAAGCTGCCCTGGGTTGTATTAAAGAAAATTGGGATGAAATTCTAATGGTAAATTAAAAATAAATAACTGTGTTATTTATTTTTCATCTTTTTCATCCATTACCGAGAAAATAATATAATAACAGAGTTGGAAGGGACCTTGGAGGTCTTCTAGTCCAACCCCCTGCTCAGCCAGGAAAGCCTATACCATTTCAGACAAATGCTTGTCCAGGCTCTTCTTAAAAGCCTCCAGTGTTGGAGCATCCACGACTTCTGGAGGCAGGTTGTTCCACTGGTTAATTGTTCTCACTGTCAGGAAGTTTCTCCTTAGTTCTAGGTTGCTTCCCTCCTTGGTTAGTTTCCATCCATTGCTTCTTCTCCTGCCTTCTTCAGGTGCTTTGGAGAATAGCTTGACTCCCTCTTCTTTGGGGCAGCCCTGAGATACTGGAAGACGGCTATCATGTCCCCCCTCGTCCTTCTCTTTGTTAAACTAGACATACCCAATTCCCTCAACCGTTCTTTATATGCTTTAGCCTCTAGACCCCTGATCCTCTTTGTTGCTCTTCTCTGCAGTTTGCTTTTAGAGCCTCCGGTGTTTCTACAAACTAATATGAACATACATTCAGTAGCTTTCTGCATATATAGTCAACAGCAACACAGCATGTCAATGGTATCCAGTGTTATTCTAATGTTAACCGTTTTGAAAGCTCTGTGTTCCTTTTATGGCTTCTAACTGTACCAGGTTTCAGGCATCCAGAGATGGGAGGGCTGAAGGGGTCAAGGAAAACTGAGTGTATTTACACAGCTGAAAAATTGCCTTCATTTAAAGATGGGCAAAGCTTTTTCTGGTCTTCATTTCTGATGTTTAAATTGACATGCGTGTGTATTTTAACAGGACGGACACCAGAAGATTAGCCAATGCCTTCATCTGGTGTATAAACCATTTGCGTTTCAGAATTAATGAGGGCTAAACAGATTTATTGATAAAAATAGCTCGGCAGGAATAATTACGGTCTGATACAAAAGAGAACAAGTCCACTGCCTTGTTATGAACTAACTCACGGTCCTAATTCACAATTTTTCAGTGCCCTGGTGAATTTGAACAATCATTAAAGAAACTAAGGCAAAGACTACCTGTGTTGTGTCCAGCAGGGATCTTCCCTCGTGATAATAATAAAATAAAATAAAATAATAAAAAAAATAAAATAAAATAATAAAATAAAATAATAAAATAAAATAAAATAAATAAAATAAAATGAATGAAATAGAATAAAATGAATAAAATAAAATAAGTAATATAATAAAATAGAATAAAATAAAAGTAAATAGAATAAAATGAATAAAATAAAATAATAAAATAAAATAAGATAAAATAAAATATAATAAAATAATAAAATAAAATAAAATATAAAATAAAATAATAAAATAAATAAAATAATAAAATAAAATAGAATAAAATGAATAAAATAAAATAAGTAATAAAATAAAATAGAATAAAATAAAAATAAATAGATTAAAATGAATAAAATAAAATAAAATAATAAGATAAAATAAAATAAATAAAATAAAATTGATATAGAATAAAATGAATAAAATAAAATAAATAATAAAATAAAATAGAATAAAATAAAAATAAATAGAATAAAATGAATAAAATAAAATAAAATAATAAAATAAAATAAGATAAAATAAAATATAATAAAATAATAAAATAAAATAAAATGAATAAAATAAAATAAGTAATAAAATAAAATAGAATAAAATAAAAACAAATAGAATAAAATGAATAAAAGAAAATAAAATAATAAAATAAGATAAAATAAAATAAATAAAATAAATAGAATAAAATGAATAAAAGAAAAGAAAATAATAAAATAAGATAAAATAAAATAAATAAAATAAATAGAATAAAATAAAATAAATATAAAATAATAAAATAAAATAAGTAGAATAAAATGAATAAAAAAGAATAAAATAAATAAAATAAAATAGAATAAGATAAAATAAAATAAAAAGAATAAAATGAATAAAATAAAATAGAATAAATAGAATAAAATAAAATAATAAAATAAAATAAAATAACTGAGAAACTCACACAGATCCTCCCCAACGTGCTTTTTCAAAAAGGCAACTGGATTTTATTTTTGTTTTTGTTTTTCTTTCAAAACATTTCGCTTCTTATCCAAGAAGCTTCTTCAGTTCTAGCTTCTGAACTCAGGAGGCCTCTGGGATGAGAAGCAAAACGTTTTCAAGGAAGCTGTTTCGAAGACCCCCATAAACTTCTGAATTGAAAAAGCTTCTTGGGTGAGAAGCAAAATGTTTTCATAGGAAGAGAAAACACAAAAAAGTCCAGTTGCTTTTGGGGGGGGGGGGAAAGCACCTTTGGGACAACCGTGGCCTCGGATGACTGAGGATCTCCAGAGACCTTCCCACAGATCTTAATTTGGGGAAACATGCCTTCTCCTCCTCCTTTATGTCGAACTGTCTCTGAATTTTCATTTTACTTTCCAAGAAGCAAGCGCTAAACCTTTGCCTGGGTTTTCTTGCAGTACCTGGTGTGCAAACGGAAACTGGACAGCAAGAAGGAAGCGCTGCTGATTCTTTCCAAGGAACTGGATTCGTGTCAACAGGAAAGAGACCAGTTCAAGCTTATGGCTAACCAGCTACGAGAAAAGCACCAGTCACTAAAGAAGAAATATCAGGAACTAATTGTGGGTAGCCGGTTTGAAAATTTGGATAGGGTTAAAACCTTTTCCTTCATATAATGCAGTGAGGGAGGTTAAACATCCCGTTATCGTCTTTTAAATTCTGATTTTTCTAAAAACTGTGGTGGACCATTCCTGTTAGTAATATTGTGTGAATTTGGAACAGGCTTACAGCCGAAACATTTTGGTTCCATATAGTATTAACCTTGTGAATTCTAGAGCTTCCTCTTTCTGCTATGTGTTCAAGATGGACAGTGATTAATATTTATATGTTAAGGGTGAAGATCTATACATATGTTGTATATAGTATGTTTAAATGTGTTTTATGTATGTGTACCCTTTGAGAGCAAGCAACTAAATTTCATTTTTAATGTATGCCGTTGTGCCCACAGTAAAAATGACAATAAAGGTTTATCTATCTATCTATCTATCTATCTATCTATCTATCTATCTATCTATCTATCTATCATCATTGTCCGATCTATCTATCTATCTATCTATCTATCTATCTATCTATCTATCTATCTATCATCTATCTATCTATCTATCTATCTATCTATCTATCTATCTATCTATCTATCATCACTATCCTGTCTGTCTGTCTGTCTCTATCTGTGTGTTTATCTATCTATCTATCTATCTATCTATCTATCTATCTATCTATCTATCTATCATCACTATCCTGTCTGTCTGTCTGTCTGTCTCTGTCTGTCTGTCTGTTTATCTATCTATCTATCTATCTATCTATCTATCTATCTATCTATCTATCTATCTATCTATCTATCTATCTATCTATTTATCTATCTATCATCACTGTCTGTCTATCTATCTATCTATCTATCTATCTATCTATCTATCTATCTATCTATCTATCTATCTATCTATATCATGTTTAATGTATGCCATTGTGCCCACAGTAAAAATAATAATAATAAAGATTATTGTCATCATCATCATCATCATTTTATATGCCTATTTTTCGGTGACGCAATACTTTACTAAAGAGTTAGTCTTTTCTTTTTAGGATGGCGATCCCTCTCTTCCTCCGGAGAAAAGAAAACAGGTAGGTTTTATTTCAGACTAATGTAACTGACAGTTCCAGGTCCTGAATCTGGGTTGAATTGTTTCGAGTACAACATTGCATCCAGATAAATATATTGGTTTTGCAGAACGCTACCCCAATAATTCCATACACTCGTTTGCCAGTAATAAAGGACTTAACGTATAATCTCCTTTTTAAGTACAGGTAGTCCTGAATTTAGGACCACAATTGAGTACAAAATTTCTGCTGTTAAGTGAGACATTTGTTAAGTGAGTTTTGCCCCATTTTACGACCTTGCTTGCCCCAGTCGTTAAGTGAGTCAGTGCAGTTGTTAAGTTAGTAACAGGGTTGTTAAGGGAATCTGGCTCCCCCCGGGAAACACCGCGACCGTCATAAACAGGAGTCAGCTGCCAAGCGTCAGGATTTTGATCACGTGACCCTGGGGATGCTGCAACGGTCGTAAGTGTGAAAAATGGTCGCAAGCTATTTTTTCAGTGTCATTGTAATTTTGAACAGTCACTAAATGAATTATACTACCTGTATAATCCCAAGAGATTTAAACTTTTTTACTTCTTCTGTTTTAGGACTGTTAATAGACCAACCAAAGTTTTTTTTTTTTTTTTTAAGATGTCATTATCATTCTCAAGGATTGTTAATGTATCAGCAAAATACAGAAGAAAAAACCCCAGGGACTGACCCATTTCTATCTCACAAAAAAGCATCCTTAAGTTAACTATCTATAACCAGACCAATGGTCAGACCCTAAAACCAAGAATGGCCCATTAGCTTTGTGTCGCTATCCATTGCACCAATAGTAAAATAAAATAATAAAATAAAATATAATAAAATAAATAATAAAATAAAATAAAATAAAAAATAAAACAAAATAATAAAATAAATAAAATAAGTAAAATAAAATAATAAAATAAAATAAAACAACAAAATAATAAAATAAAATAAAATAAATAATAAAATAAATAAAATGTAAAATAATAAAATAAATAAATAAAATTGAAATAAAATAAAATATAATAATAATAATATAATATAATAATAAAATAAAATAAATAAAGTAATAAAATAAAATAATATAATAAATAATAAAATACAACAAAATATAAAATAAAATAAAGTAATAAATAACAATAAAATATAATACAATAAATAATAAAATACAATAAAATATAAAACAAAATAATATAATAAAATGAAATAATATATAATAAATAATAAAATACAATAAAATATAAAACAAAATAATATAATAAAATGAAATAATATAATATAATAAATAATAAAATACAATAAAATATAAAAAATAAAATAATGAATAAAATAATAAAATGAAATAAAATAATATAATAAATATAAAAATAAAATAATAAAATAAAATAACATATAAAATAGAAGTAAAAGCATGGTAGGATTTGCTGCCCTGAGTATTTATGCATATTTTGGGTTGCCCTCTGTTGCTATTTATCCATTACCTGCAAGCTATATATATGTGCACCTGGCTTGATTTATTTTACTCTTGCATTAATTTTAATTCTAGAAAAGCACCAAAAGCAAAACAGTTTTTTTTCCCCTCCGCTGCCTCTTCAGCTTCCACTTGTGACCGTTTGTTGTGTTTTTTCCCCAGGCGAATCTCACCCAGCTTCTGAGTGATTCTCGGGATCGAAATAAACACTTAGGGGAAGAAATCAAAGAACTGCAGCAAAGGCTGGGCGAAGTGCAGGGAGACAACAAGGTAGGGCAGGAATTAAACATAATTACGCCAGTAGCCCTTGCCTTATAACTATAATACCGCCTGGAGTTTCCATCTTATGTCGCAATGGTTGTAAGTCGAGGCATCTATGCATCTCTCCTGATTTGTCAACACTTTTTTGGTGGCAGTAGTTAAACAACGGCAGTGGTCATAAAGCAAACGCAGCAGTCACAAAGTCATTAAGCAAACCCATTGTCCGCAGTGAGCCTTTATGTAAATGCAGGTAGTCCTCGTATTACGACCATAATGGAGGCTAAAATTTCCATCGCTAAGTGACACATTTGTTAAGAGAGCTTTGCCCCATTTTACGACCTTTCTTGCCACAGTTGTTAAGGGAATCCCTGCAGGTATTAAATTAGCCACCCGGTTATTAAGTGAATTCAGCTTCCCCCCTTGACATTCCTCGTTGGAAGGTCACAAAAGGAGATCACGTGACCCCAGGGGACACTGCAACCGTCCTAAGTACATGCCAGTTGCCGAGCCTCTGAATTTTGATCACGTGATCACAGGATCATCAGTATGAAAACCTGCTCATAAGTCCCATTTTTCAGTGCTGTTGTAACTTCGAACAGTCATTAAAGAACAGAATAACAGAGTTGGGAGGGACCTCGTAGGTCATCTAGTCTAGCCCTCCATCCAATGAATTGCTCTAAGACTGCCTGTATTGCATCTTGATTGAAGAAATATCCTGGGAATGGAAGCCAGAGTTCTGGTTTGACTGAGTTGACCTTTTGGAGTCAGGATTAAACCTACCTTTTGTAGCAATCTTTGTAACAGAATAGAATAACAGAGTTTGAAGGGGTCTTGGAGGTCATCTAGTCCAACCCCCTGCTCAAGCAGGAAACCGTATCCCATTTCGGACAAATGGCTGTCCAGTCTCTTCTTAAAAACCTCCAGTGTTGGAGCACTCACAACTTCTGGAGGCAACTTCTGTTCCACTGGTTAGTTGTTTGATGGTAAGTGTGATTTCGGCTGTCTGCAACCTAGGGACCGGCCATATTGCTATGGCCAGTCTTTCGCCCACCGGTTCAGAGGGAACATTGGCTCCAGCGAAAGCCCCTCCTTGCTGGTCACCTTTATGGGGCGACTTTTCGACCCTTTTAGGCCCCCCAGCAATGCAAAACTGGACGAGGAAGACGGAGCTCGTCTTCCAAGCATCCATGGCGTCGGCAAACCGGAAGTCTCCATTGGTTAGTTGTTATCTTCTTAACGGATAAGGGAGCAAATATCTTTGCAATGTAGCTTAAAGATCATGCCTAGGTAGGTTTATTATTTGCTTGTGAATTGCAATTCTGGATTTTTGTTTTTGTTTTTTCTTCCAGCTTCTTCGGATGACGATTGCCAAGCAAAGACTTGGAGATGAAGAAGTTGGGGCCCGTCATTTCGCCCCCCACGAGCGCGAAGATCTCGTCCAGCAGCTGGAGAAAGCACGGGAACAAGTAATTGAACAAAACGGCCTCTTTTGTGAACGTGCATTCTGACCTCTTCCATCCTCGATTTCAGGTCTTGGTAGGGCAAGTCATTGAAAAGAGGCTTGATTTGATCAGACCAGGATATCCATCAGGTCCAAGAGTCTGTTTCCATCGCCCAAAATGCAACGGGTTGGTCCCAAGGATGCTTTTTCATGAGGCAGCTGGACTTTCTTGTATAAATAAAAAGGTTTTGTTTGCAAAGGACAAGCTGTCTGCAAGGAATATAAATTCTTCCATTCCCCACCATCCAGTCAGAGCTGAAGAAGCTTCTGGGATGAGAAGTGAAAGGTCTTCAAAGAAAAACAAGGAAGTCCAGTTGCCTCATGAAAAAGCACCTTTGGGACAGCCATGACCTGGGTGACGGAGAATCTCCATAGACCAGGGGTCTTCAAACTTGGCCCTTTTATGACTTGTGGACTTCAACTCCCAGAATTCCTCAGCCTGGCTGAGGAATTCTGGCAGTTGAAGTCCACAAGTCATAAAAGGGCCAAGTTTGAAGACCCCTGTCATAGACATTTGTTGCTGAAAATAGACCTGGGAGATAGAAGGAGTCTTGGCAAAAATTAGGGGACTGAGTTGGCCTGGAGAAACGCTTGGAAGTTCTCCTTATCTTCAGTAACTCTTTTGAGCTTGGCTCTCTTGCCAGATTGAGACTCTCCAGCTTGATCTTCAAGCTACGTTGGACGAACTCCAGGATGTGAAGGAAGAACGTTATTTTTACCAAGATAAGTCCGACAAGCTAAACCAGGAGCTGAACTATGTTCTCGGGGGCCACGTTGACCGTATTATCGACATAGATGCTCTCTGTATGGAAAACAGGTGAGTTTGCTTAGGAATCCATCGTGATTTATTAGGACGGGACGTAACGTCCCTTCAGAACTGCGTCTACACTAAGAGTATTCATCCTAGGGTCCCTCTTTGCTGCAAATATTGTAACGCAGCAAAAACAACCTAGAGAAAAAAATAAAGTGATGGTAAAATCAAAAATCAAAATGGCCGACTCACTGAAGAGAGGAAAAATTGCATTGACCTGTTAACGTAGTCAGGTAAAGTTTTACCCCTGTTTAGTTGTGTCTGTTTCTTGGCCAAGAGAGCCGGCGTTGTCCGAAGACATTTCCATGGTCATGTGGCCAAAGGCACATGGAGGGCTGTTACCTTCCCATCGAAGTGGTGCCTATTTATCTACTCGCATTTGAATGCTTTCAAACTGCTAGATTGGCAGGAGCTGAGGCCAGGACGGGAGCTCACTCCATCACACAGCGCTCAGATCTCAAACCTGGGCTGTCATCTTTCCAGCTGACAAGCTCAGGGTCTTTAACCACTGAGCCATAAGGGATTAATGTGGCTAAACAAAGTTTTGGCCCTAAACCTCAAATCCACTTTTTATTACAAAGAGGAGGAGGAGGAGGAGGAGGAGACGACGACAACGACAACAGGGAATTGCTGGGGAATATTAATTCAGGCTCCGAAGCCTTAATCAATATTCCTTACACCAGTGGTATGTGGGTGTGTGTGAGCGAGTGGGACAGCACAATTGACAATTGAATGCAAATTGTAGGGTTTTTGTCTCTGCTTGACTTATTATTTCTCATTTGTTCCTTTTCACCATGAAGCTCGTAGCTCATTTTGAAATACTTAATAAATGGCATCTGAGTAATGTATCACTGTTTTCATCCCTAAATTTCAGATACCTTCATGAGCGATTAAGACAAGTTCAAGAAGAGGTTAATATTCTGAAATCAAACATTGTGAAATACAAGGTAAATTACACTGTGAACTGTAAGGGGAGAATTGTATGGTCAATTTTTGGCCGTGTAATAGGTTTCAAATTTGTAACAAGGCTAATTAATGTGGGTTTTTAGCTTTGTTCGTCTTTGAAATATTTCTTTCACGAAAGAAAAAAACACCCTGCTAATATTTCTCCATAGTTTTTAAGTGCAATTAGGTAATTTAGTTGTTGTTGTTTTTTAAACGGAAGTTTTAGGCAGCTTTTAAACGTAATATTTTTGTTTATATTTATTCTATTTAAATATTTATTCTATTTATTCCCTTGCATAATTCATTCTGTGTTGTCTGCCTATCGAAAGATGAGTTTCAGTTCTCTTTATTCTCTGTGAAATTGTATTTCTTGCACAAGGAATTGCTGTATTTAATTTAACGTTCCTCTCCTAAACTTCCAGAATCGTAGAATTACAGTCAGGGGAAATGATCCTAGAGGTCCTCTAGTCCATCCCCAGACACTTTAGGGTCTCTCTGACAGAGTACCTCTCCTCCCGGTAAAAAACAAACCAAAATAACTTTTATCAAAGAAACAAAAATGTCACTGAGGCATAATTGGTTCATTCTTCGGCTCTCCACAATAACTTTTGTTTCATTAAATGAGAGTAATGGAACTTTCAGTGTGATATAGCATGATACATTTAAAAAAAAATTATTAGCACTCAAATCACAGTGCATTGTTTTGTGCTAGACACCATTTAAATTACTACATGCACAAGTGTTCATTGTGTCCTTGGTTTAATGTATAGTAAATTAGTGCCCGTCTCCTTGCTTTGTTGTGTTCAATTGTTTCTCCTGGATTTTGCGTCCACATATGCCCTCATTATTGTGCGATAAAAAAAAATATTCCACATTCTCCAAGTTTACATATATTACCGATGGAGCACCATGGTATGTAGATTGATGCTTGTAAATTGTGGTTTAGATTCAGTTGAACAAACTGCAAGACCAAAAGTGGACTTCTTAATTATTATTATTATTTTTTTAAAAAATAAAAATCTAGTTCTAGTTTTACCTGGTGTGGGTCATGAAATGTGTGCAAGAAAACAAGCAAGCTCAGAGACCAGCAAGGTCCCCACAATCTTCCTCCTCCTCCTCTTCCTCCTGACCCCCCCTCCTCCTCCCTATAAACCCCCCTCCCTTCTAGCAATGATAACGCTACCTAGTTGGGTTATAAAATGTCTGCAAGAAAACAAGCAAGCTCAGAGAGCACCAGGGACACACAGACACACACTTGTCAACCCTGAGCCACAAATATTCTTCTTTATTAGTAAAATAAGAATCAGATTTTCCTTTTTAATACACATTTTTCCTTGAGCCTTGACTCCTTTCTTTAGAACGCTCTAGAAAGAAGGAAGAATTCGAAGGGCCACAGCAAATCAAACAGCAGCGCCCTGACTGGGATCCTTTCTGCAAAGCAAGGTACGGCACAAGAGTTTTGCCTTTCTTCTAAAATTGAAAGTGGTGGTCCTAATAGGACATTTGCACACCAGGATCTTGTATCCCTTTGGGTTCGTCTCTGCATTGGGGGAGCAGGGCTGGTTTACTTCTGGTTCTGGTGGGTTTTGTTTGAAACGGCAGCACAGCTGGCATTTTCCTTGCAATTCACAGGGATCTGCATCTTCACAGATCCCAGGGTCTTTTAAAGGAACAGTGGAATGATGGCTGGGCAGCCTTTAAAGCTTCCCCTCAAAATAATCCCTCACATTTTTTTTTAATGAACCGACACATAACTGTACACAACACGTGATCAGAAATATAGACGAGGGCATTAGTAATTTATGTTATTAGTATTTCTTTCTTACAGAGTGGGAAGGGAGGAAGAGCAAGGGTTATTGTTTATTAAACCTATTCTGCCTATTCTACTTTATTCTATTCCATTCCCTATTCTATTCTATTCTCTATTCTATTCTATTCTATTCTATTCTATTCTATTCTATTCTATTCCATTCCATATTCTATTCTATTCTATTCCATTCCATATTCTATTCTATTCTATTCTCTATTCTATTCTATTCTATTCTATTCTATTCTATTCTATTCTCTATTCTATTCTATTCTATTCCTTATTCTATTCTATCCTATCCTATCCTATTCCTATTCCTATTCTTATTCTTATTCCTATTCCTTTCTGTTCTGTCCTTCATATTCTATTCTGTTCTGTTCTATCTTTCATGTTCTGTTCTATTCTATTCTATTCTATTCTACTCTACTCTACTCTACTCTACTCTACTCTACTCTATTTCATTCCCATTCTGTGTTCTATTCTGTTCTGCTCTATCTACTCTACTCTACTCCACTCCACTCCACTCCACTCCACTCCATTCACCATGTTGGTTAAAATTCTGGAAGTTAAACCTGCACATCTGGAAGTGACCGTGGTTGAGAAATGCTACTCTGGACAGATCTCCAATTCTTTGAGAGCTGAACACCCTAAAAAGATTCCTAAATTTGTTTTGACTTCCTTCAACTGTTTCTAGTGCAAGAACTGTTATCTGAAGATCACGGCTGCAGTTTACCAGCAACGCCTCAGTCCATTTCTGATCTCAAATCCTTGGCTACTGCTTTATTGGAGACCATCCATGAGAAGAACATGGTCATTCAGCACCAAAGGCAAACCAACAAGTAAGTGATTTTTCTGCACTAGACTGGTGTGAGACTTCTCTACAAGTCGTGCTGATCCACTTGCATTCACTGAGGTGTGTAGTGCTTTGTGGAACTGTCTAGGCTTAGCACAGGGGAAAACATTGGGGGGGGGGAAGGTGGAGGTGATAAACAGGCAGTCCTCTACTTAGAAGCATTCATTTAGTGACCATTCAGAGTTACAAAATGTATGTGTGTGTGTGTGTGTACATCACTGTTGCAGCATCCCTGTGGTCATGTGATCAAAATTTGGGCACTTGGCAACTGGCATATGTTAAGAGAAGAGAAGAGAATAATGAATAGAATAGAATGCAGAATAGAATAGAATAGAATATGGAATGGAATGGAATGGAATGGAATAGAATAGAATAGAATAGAATAGAATAGAATAGAATAGAATAGAATAGAATAGAATAGAATATAGAGTAGAGTAGAATAGAATAGAATAGAATAGAATGTAGAGTAGAAATAGAATAGAATATAGAGAATAGAGAATAGAATAGAATAGAATAGAAAACAATAAAGAATAGAATAGAAATTAGAATAGAATAGAATAAAGAACAATAAAGAATAGAATAGAATAAAGAATAGAATAGAAATTAGAATAGAATAAAGAATAGAATATAATAAAGAATAGAATAGAATAGAATAATGAAGAATAGAATAGAATAGATTTGCTTAATGACTGCACAATTCATTTAAACACTTGCAATGATTTGCTTAACAACCGTGGCAACCGCCTCGCTTATCAACGGAAGTTTTGGAATCAGTTGTGGCTGTGAATTGTAAGACAGAAGGGGATGACCCGTCATGGCTCACTTGCGGCCAACACTCCACAGCCCTAACGGTCACTGAGCAAACTGCTGTAAGTCAAGGACTTCCTGTAGTTCTTCCCCCCCCCCCTTGCTACTTTAAGAGGAAACATCTTGGAAAATCAGTTTTGAGCTCTATATATATATATACATATTAATGTGGGAATTGTGGGTGGTCTATTTTAAATTATAACAAAAGGTTATAATTACATCTTCGTGTTTGCATGCATCTGTGTGTCCGAGAGAGAGAGAGAGACGTGCAGATAGAATCTGTAAATCTGCATGTAAATCTCATTTTTTTTCTCCCTTTTATATAAAGTATTCAATCCTTGTTTCAGAATCTTAGGCAATCGGGTGGCGGAGTTGGAGAAAAAACTAAGAACTTTAGAAGTTTCTGGGCTATGGAGCCTCCCAGGTTAGTAGCATTTAGCAAAATCTCTTCTTAATTGCAAAAGACTGTCCTGCTTGGATCCACATATATACTATGCTAATAGAGGTAGCCCTCAACAGTTCATTTAGTGACGATTCAAAGTCACAGCGGCACTGAAAAACAGTTCACTTAGGGCCGTTTTTCACGCTGACGACCCTTGCAGCGTCCCCCTTGTTCACGTGATTTACATTCGGATGCTTGGCAACTGACTCGCATTTACGACGGTCCCGGGGTCACGTGATCCCCTTTGGCCTTCCGACACGCCAAGTCAGTGGGGGGGAAACCAGACTCACTTCACAACCGCGTGAGTGATTTAATACCTGAAGCGGCTCGCTTGACGAGCGTGGCGAGAAAAGTCGTTAAGACGGAGCGAATTAATAAATTTAAGGACATTAGTTTGCGGTCGTACATTGAGGACTACCTCTGCTCATTTGTGGTGAGTGTCAAGGAGGATTTGCCATCCCTGACAGAATCTGGGATTGGCCTCTTGGTTTGCGTCACGCTTAACCGGAGACGCTTTTAATTCGAATGTTTTCGAATTAAGGAATTCGTAAATCCGCTGAAGGGATGTCTGGCACGCCCTGATCTCTCTGAATGCCTTGCTCTGTTCTTGTTCCGACGACAAGCTAACATGGATATAATAACGGTTTTCTCTCCTTTCTTTTTTCCCTTGCTGCCCGAAGGCCTCAGCTACGATGTCTCGGTGGGATTTGGGAGTAGGTGCTCCTTGTTACGTTTCGAGTAACAGACCTTCAGTGTGCACAAAGTGTTGTCGCTGGCGCATATAATAAATAGAAATGTCATCTGAATGTTTTTAAATCTCTGCCTCCCACCCCGATTAAGATATTCAACTTAAGACAGTCGCAAGAGGAATAGAGGCTACTTGCACAATTGTTTCTAATTGGAAGGGAGAGCAATTAGGGAAGAAGGGTTTCTGAACGGAGGAGTTGCACGTTTGCATAATAGTTGGGGAGGGAGGATAGGGAAGAAGGGAGGAAGGAAGGAAGGGAGGGAGGAAGGAAGGGAGGACAGGGAGGGAGAGAGGTAGGAAGGAAAGACAGAAAAGGAGGAAGGAAGGAAGGAAGGAAAGACAGAAAAGGAGGAAGGAAGGAAGGAAGGAAGGAAGGAAGGAAGGAAGGACAGAAGAGGAAGGAAGGAAGGAAGGAAGGACAGAAAAGGAGGAAGGAAGGAAGGAAGGAAGGAAGGAAGGAAGGACAGAAAAGGAGGGAAGGAAGGAAGGAAGGACAGAAAAGGAAGGAAGGACAGAAGAGGAAGGAAGGAAGGAAGGAAAGACAGAAAAGAAGGAAGGAAGGAAGGAAGGACAGGAAGGGAGAGAGGAAGACGGAGGGAGGGAGGGATTTAATGGAGGCAAAACTCTCATTTCTGGGTCTTCAAAAATCCTTCTGACTTGACAGCTGCAGTAAGACGGGGGTCTACTAAACGGAGGTGTTAGTCAAAGGGTCACCTTTCTGTATTGACTGTGTCGAAAATTCAAGCGCATCAGCCATCTCGACGGCCGAGTTGGTGCCTCCAGGCCCGTTTTGATTAAGCGCTCTGTGAACGTATAATTATTTCTCCACCGGAAAGCTCAAAGCTAGGTTTTTACCAAAGTGATTCATGCTATTTATGTGTTTATTTGCACCACCGGAAAGAGAGGAAGAGTTGATTCTCGGAGGGGAAAGTGCCGACGTGGGTTTTGATCAAGGGCTTGCTCGGATTCCTGAGCGTGAGAGAGGAACAGAAGAAGGGAGAAAAGAAAAGAAAAAAAGAAAGAAAAGAGCCATTTCCTGGAATCAAGCAGGCTCTCCTTGTTTCACGAGGTTGAGATTTCTAAAGTAGCTTTTTTTTTGAGCCCGAAATTCCAGTTTTAATCCAAAATTACTGGGATTATTGGATGTGGCCTAAGGGTCGATTAAGCTCTAAACCAGTGGTTCTCAACCTTTTTAATGCCGCGACCCCCAACCGGTCGTAAGTCAAGGACTACTCAACCGGTCGTAAGTCGAGGACTACTCAACTGGTCGTAAGTCGAGGACTACTCAACTGGTGCAGCCCCGTTTGCAGAATGGGACTTTTGGCGGGCTCAGCAGGGCAGAGACAGCCTGGACAAGTCCTATGGGCTTTTGAAAGCCAATAGAATTAGACTCTATTCAAGAGAGTCTCTTCTGTTGGCTTTCAAAAGCCAATAGAATAAAAGGGAGGAGCACAGCTAAGGAAAGGGGGGGAAAAAATGGCGGACTGCGTTGTTTGGCGACCCCCGTGAAATGGTCGTTCGACCCCAAATGGGGTCCCGACCCACAGGTGGAGAACCGCTGCTCTAAACAATTAAACAAAGAGGGAGGAACAAAGGAAGCGAGAAAGACCAGGCTGCTATTAAACAGGATATCTTTGTTTTAAATGCTTAAGTTTGATTTTCTTGTTTTAATCTCTTTTGGTTTTGGACAGGATAAGAGAAATCTAAAAGTTCATGTCCTTATGATTGCAGGTGGCAAGGATACGATTACATTTAGCGAACCGGCTCTTCCCGCTATCCAGAGGTTACGTTCGCCGTTGCTAACATTGGTCGAGAAGCCACCACAGAATGTAGAAGGTAAGCAACCGGGGTCCTAATAACAGTAATCCCAAATTTAGGAAAAGCCCCAAGGATGTCGTCTTGGGACCGGGGTTATCTGAGGGGCCGTCTCTCGCCGGTCACATCCGCCCGACCCACCGGAGCGGGGAGGCAAGGAACGTTGAGGGTCCCGTCCCCTAAGGAGGTCCATCTGGTGGGAACCCAGAAGCAGGGCCTTCTCCCTGGTGGCTCCCTCACTTGGGAATATCATCCCTTTGGAAATTAGACGGCAGCTCCATGGTCACGCGATCAAAACGCAAAACCGGCTTGGCAACTGACTCGTGTTTATGACGGTGGCTGCGTCCCTTGGGATCACGGGATCCCCTTTTGGAACCTTTTGACAAAGAAAGCCAGCGGGAGAAGCCGGAATCGCTCAACCATCAAGGAGAAGTTCAGTGATCCACTTCGCAACGGGGTCGAGAAAGGGCGTAAAATGGGGCGAAAGTGGCTTAAAGAGAAATTTGGTGCTCCGTTGCGGCCATAAGCTGAGGACTACCCGTATTCCCCGTCTCGGGTGAACATTTAAAATATTCTGCGGAGCAATTAGCAGGAAGTAGCCGCAGACTTCTTGAGTTCCCCCGTTTCTGCCCTATTTTCCCCCGCCTGTTTTTTCTCTCGTCACAAACCCTTCCACATTCTAAGCGCCGCGGTTAAAAACAGTCACGCTAATTAATACTCTGGAGAGTTCAGACCCCTGAGCTGCTCCCAGACCCGTAGTAAGTGGGTTTCAGAAAACGGTATCCTAAGAATTGCCTCCCACTCGATTTTAGCTTAACCCCCCACTTCTTTATTGCTTAAATAATGTGGGAGGTGTTTTCCCCCCCCCCTCCGGTGTTTGACGATCCAGGAATCGTGACGGCCTCAGAGGTCCCCGGCTTATGGCCTAGCTGGGCTCAAACAAGGCTGGGAAAATAATTTAGGGCCTCGTTCTCCATGCCAATCAGGTGCCAGGAACATTTCAAGGAAGTGCTTTCTCTCCCCTGCCCTGAAGGTGCAGATTGAGCCCAAGGAGAGTTGAAAATGGAGGGGGAGATTCCACTTGGGATTTGCGGCTTTGGGCTAAGAGAGACCTAATGAGGTTGTTCCAAGAAACGGAAGATTTCTTGGTCTTGAAATACGAACTTGCTAGATTTTCCTCCTCCTCCCCCCCCCCTTTCTCCTCCTCCTTTCCCCCTCTTCCTCTTCCTCCCTTCCCTCCCCCTCCCCTCTTCTTCCTCTTCCTCCTCCTCCCCTCCTTCCTCTTTCCTCTCTTCCTCCTCCTCCCCTTCCTCTTTTTCTTCCTCCTTTCCTTCCCCCTCCTCTTCCTCCTCCCTCCCCTCCCCCTCCTCTTCCTCCTCCATCTCTTCTTTTTCCTCCTCCTCCTCTTTCCCCTCTTCCTGCTCCCCTTCCTCTTTTTCTTCCTCCTTTCCTTCCCTCCTCCCCTGATTTCTCCTCCTCCCTTCCCTCCCCCTCCTTCTCTTCCTTGTCCCCCTCCCCTCTTCCTCCTCCTCCACTTCCTCTCCTGCTCCTCTTCTACCTCCTTTCTCCTCTTTTTTTCTCCTCCTCCCCTCCTCCTCCTCCCCTTCCTTTTTTTCTTCCTCCTTTCTCTCCCCTCCCCCTCCTCTTCTTCCTTCTTCCCCTCCCTTCCTCTTCCTCCTCCCCCTTTCTCTCCCCCTCCGCCTCTTCTTTTTCCTCCTCCTCCCTCCCCCTCCCCTTGCTCCTCTTCCTCCTCCTCCTTGCATGCAATATTGCTCTGGTTGATTAAGCTACAATTTTCCATTACAATCAAGCCCGGAAAGGAAATATAAACATCAGTTCTTGAAAAAGGACGGGGGAAAATGATTACATCTCGGTCAATAGACCGAAAAGAACAAAAACGCTCAGATTTCTTTAGAGAGAAAGAGAGAGAGACTCGAAAATTCATAGGTGGCCTTGCATACCGCTGGTCCTCGTTTAGGGTCCGTTTCCAGTTAGGATGGGGATGACAAAAAAAAAAAAACCACTTCAGAAGAAGGATTCCTTGCCTACTATAGAAGAATGGTTTCTTAAAGTTTCTTATTTATCAGAAATGGCAAAAATTTCGGCCTATCTGAAAGACCATTCACAAGAGAGAGATATCTCGGTGTGGAAAAGATGGGTAAATTTTGTACAGAATAAATATGGGATTAGAAAGTATTATTTAGCTTTTGAATAATTTATAGTTTAAATTGGGTATGGTTGGATTTGTAGTTTCTATGTATTGGAGTTAAAGTACTTTAAATTTTTGGGATGTATGTATAGTGGATTGATGTTCATTTAATTTGTATGGGTTTTTTTTGTTTCTCTAACCCTGTATTCAGCTCTGGGAAGGAGGGGGAAGGGTTATGGGGTGGGAGGAGGGTATTTTATTGTAAAAAGTTTATGAAATTTTCAATTAAAAAAAAAAAAACACTTCAGAAGCACCACTTGCATTTATGACCCACTTGGCAGGCCTGCGAAGCAAAGGAAAGCTGTGGTAAGTTCATAATGAGCACAAGTTGCAGTTCCACTTAGCAGCCACTCCACTTAACGACCAAGTGTCTGGTTCCAGTTAGGGTCACTAAATGAAGACCGTCTCTATTGTTCTGGGGTGACAAATGAGAGCCAGAACTTTTATTTCTTTATTGTGAGGGGGGAGAGGAATCCTTTCATTTCTCTCAAACAGCTAAAAGGATAAGAATTAGAACTGGGCCTTGTCAAAAGCTCCTTCCCCCCCCCCCAAAGTAACGGTGTAAATCAGGGGTGCCCAACTGTGGCAATTTCAAGACCTGTGGACTACAGCTCCCAGAATCCTCCAGCCAGCATGGGGGATCCTGGGAGCTGTCCACAGGTTTTAAGGTCGCCAAAGTTGGACACCCCTGGTTTAAATTCTGCCCGTGACAATTACTTGTTCTAATATCTGTTGTTCCTGCTCACTGTCCAGACGGAAATGTACAACCTTTCCGTTTTTCTCTCGTGTAGAAGATCAAACAAGGCAGCCGCTAATCACGTGTCCTGCTAAAACGGAACGGACTCTTCCGGAAGAAGCCGCTCTCCCTGCAGAGGACTCGCGCGGAAACCTCAAGAGCGGCCCTCAAGCCAAGAGTTTCCGTTCGTCGTCGTCCCAGGGTCTGTCAGAAGAAGGGGACCCCGGCGGCCTTGAGGATGACCAGGCCAAGCGGACTGAAGATCGGTCGTCCACTGCAGAACTGGAGGACAGAGGAAGAGACGGTCCGACAGACGAACAAGGTGGAAGCCCGGGAGAACCGGACAGTTTTGCTGACGGGGACTCTTCCGTCTCCAGCCCTCCTCCCTGGAGTTCCAAGGAAGCATCCGAGCTGGAGAAGAGACCTCTGGCTGAAAACCAGACTGGAGAAGAACTGAGGGGCAGCCAGGAAAACGGGGTAGCATCGTGTAGCTGAAGACCACCAAAGGAAACCCATGGCCCTGCTGGATGTTAAAGACGCTCCAAAGTTCATTCTTTCAACTTCAAGCTTGAGTTACATTCCAAATGAGACCCCTGAAGCTACGAAGGTGGAAGATATTTCTCCTCTTCTTCCTTCTCCTCCATCTCCATCTTCTTTGTCTCCTTTTTCTTCTCCTTCCTTCTCTTTATCTATCTTCTTCTCCTTCTTCATCTCCTTCATCCTTAATCAATCTCCTCCTCCTCTTCTATCTTCTCCTCTTTCTTCTCCATCTCCTCCTCCCTTATCTATCTCCTCCTCCTTCTCCATCTTTTCCTTCTCCATCTCCTTCATCCTTATCTATCTCTTCTTCCACCTTCTCCATTTCCTTCATCCTTATCTATCTCTTCTTCCACCTTCTCCATCTCCTCCTCCTCCATCTCCTCCTTTATCTAGATCCTCCTTCTCCATCTCCTTCATCCTTAGCTATCTCCTCCTCTTCCACTTTCTCCTCCTCCTCCTTCTCCATCTGTTTCATCCCTTCTCCTTATCTATCTCCTCCTCCTTTTCCTTCTCCATCTCCTTCATCCTTATCTATCTCCTCTTCCTCCTTCTCCATCTCTTCTCTTCCCTTAACCTTATCTATCTCCTCCTCCTCCTCCTCCTCCTGGCTCTTGATGAACATTTTGACCTTATCCTCCTGTTCTCCATCTTTGACGTTTCTCCACTCTGCCTTTTTGTTTCCCAGATGCAGATATCGTTCCTCCCATCAATCCTAGAGTGTATACGAAATAAACAAATAAAGGCATAAATAAAATCCTCCTGTAAATATCCATGAAGGGGTGTCATGAGAGTGGTTTAAGACCCTAGATCCTAGATTCTGGCCTCTTCCATTTGCTGTGATGAAAACTGAAAGGTCCTTGGTGCTCTCTGAGCTTGTTTGGGTTTTTTTTTTGGGGGGGGGGCAGACGTTTCATTTCCAAACCAGGTAACGTCAGCAGGGCACTAGCATCTGCAAGAAAACAACCAAGCTCAGAGAACACTAGGGATCCCTCATTACAAATATTTGAGTTACAAATATTCTCCTTTCTGATTAAAAATCATGGTGATGGGCTACAGTTGTGTGGTACAAACCTGGTTCCCCCTGATCTTCTCAGGCTAAGGAAAGGAGATTTAGGAGTTGCACCTCCTCCTCCTATTAAAATTGACAGTCTACATTTCAATCAATCAGAATACAGCTGGAAGGGATTTTGGAGTGTGGAGTAATTCCCAAAGAGAGAAGACTTTCTTCCAAATCCAGAGAAGCCATTTGTTTGAAGATGAAGTTTTTAGTCTCAAGCTCCCATCCTTTGGCCAAAGTCAAAGAAAAGAAGCTGGGTAAAGCAAAATCAGTAAATCAGAATAGAGCTGGAAGGGACCTTGGAGGTCTTCTAGTCCAACCCCGTTCAAGCAGGAGACCCTATACCAGTGGTTCTCAACCTGTGGGTCGGGACCCCATTTGGGGTCGAACGACCATTTCACAGGGGTCGCCAAACAACACAGTCCGCCATTTTTTCCCCCTTTTCCTTAGCTGTGCTACTCCCTTTTATTCTATTGGCTTTTGAAAGCCAATAGAATAGACTCTTGAATAGAGTCTAATTCTATTGGCTTTCAAAAGCCAATAGGAATTGTCCAGGCTGTCTCTGCCCTGCTGAGCCCGCCAAGAGTCCCATTCTGCAAACGGTGCTGCACCAGTTGAGTAGTCCTCGACTTACGACCGGTTGAGTAGTCCTCGACTTACAACCGGTTGGGGGTCGCGGCATTAAAAAGGTTGAGAACCACTGCTAGACCATTTCAGACAGGTAGATGTCCAGCCTCTTCTTAAAACCTTCAGGGACCCAGAACTTTTGGTGGCAAAGCTGTTCCACTGGTTGATTGTCCTCACTGTCAGGAAGTTTCTCCTTAGTTCCAGGTTGTTTCCCTCCTGGATTAGTTTCCATCCGTTGTTTCTTCTCCTGCCTTCAGGCGCTTTGGAAAATAACTTGACCGCCTCCTCTTCTTTGTGGCAGCCCCTCAAATACTGGAACACTGCTATCATGTCTCCCCTGGTCCTTCTTTCCTCTAGACCAGGGGTTCTCAACCTTGGCAACTTTAAGACTTGTGGACTTCAACTCCCAGAATTCAACTCCCAGCTTTGCTGGCTGAGGAATTCTGGGAGTTGAAGTCCACAAGTCTTAAAGTTGCCAAGGTTGAGAACCCCTGCTCTAGACTGGCTATACCCAAATCCTGTAATCGTTCTTCACGGGTTTTACTCTCCACACCTTTAATCATCTTAGTTGCTCTTCTTGCACTTTTTCCCAAAGTCCCAACATCTTTTTTGTAATGGGGTGACCAAAACTGGATGCCGTATATTCCAGGTGTGGCCTTACCAAGGCTTTCTAAAGCAGTACTAAGACTTCACCTGATTTTGATTCTATGCCTCTGTTTATACCAGTGTTTCTCAACCTTGGCAACTTTACGATGTGTGGACTTCAACTCCCAGAATTCTCCAGCTAGCAACGCTAGCTGGAGAATTCTGGGAGTTGAAGTCCACACATCGTAAAGTTGCCAAGGTTGAGAAACACTGGTTTATACAACCAAAGATTGCATTAGCTTTGGGGGCTGCCGCTGCACACGGCTGGCTCGGGTTTAAGTGATCCTCCACTAGGACTCCAAGGTCCCGCTCACAATTACGGTTTTTAAGCCAGGTCTCGCCCAGTCTGTACTTGTACCTTTGCTTTTTTCCTGCCTGAGTGTAAAACTTTGCTTTTCTCCACATTAAATTTAGGGGTGGGAGAGGGGGGAGAGAGAGGAAATGCTGCTTTGTTTCTTTTCTGACCCATTAATTTTTGGTCCAGGGTTGAAATGATGCTCTTTGTGGCCATTTCTCATCTGAAAGGCTTTTCATGGGGACAATCAATTAACTTCCCGTAGGAAAGGGTTTTCTCACCCTGTGAACCGCTCATGGACCAATTTAACGGTGTCTGGGGGCGGCTCTGTGGTTCCTCGTAGGACGGGAGCTGTGCAATATTCATCGTGGAGGTCTCGTAGCTTTCGTGCTGAAGGGAAAGTCTGATTCCTGCCTTGTCGTGTTTCGTTTTGGTTTTCTTTCCAAAATAAGAAACACATCTGGGCAGCTGTAGAGCTTGTCTGGGCTCCGAGCCCTAGAGACAATTTTTCCTGCTGGTTTGGGAACCTAATTGCCTGTAAATGCTCATTACTCACTCGTAGGACTTAAAACCAGTTGGAGGGAGGATTAATCCCAATTTAGCGATAAGAATTACTTTTTTTTTTTTTTAAAGGAAATCCTTTCTGGTTTTGTCAGAATATCTGCCAGGTACACCAACTCTCAGTCAAATGTATGGGTAATGTTAAAAGGAGAGTAAACCAATTATAGAGTGTGAGGATGATGATGATGATAAGTGATAATGATAATAACAACAGTAGTAGTAGTAGTAATAGTAACTGTTAGGTTTTTAACCAGTCCCTGACTGAATCAAGTTGAAGATTAAATCTTTAATAATATACAGTATATACTCAGTATATACAGTATCTAGGACAGTGGTTTTCAACCTGTGGGTCGGGACCCCATTTGGGGCCGAACGACCATTTCACGGGGGTCGCCAAACAACACAGTCCGCCATTTTTCCCTCCTTTTCCTTAGCTGTGCTACTTCCTTTTATTCTATTGGCTTTTGAAAGCCAATAGAATAGACTCTCTTGAATAGAGTCTAATTCTATTGGCTTTCAAAAGCCAATAGGAATTGTCCAGGCTGTCTCTGCCCTGCTGAGCCCGCCAAAAGTCCCATTTTGCAAACGGTGCTGCACCAGTTGAGTAGTCCTTGACTTACGACCGGTTGAATAGTCCTCGACTTATGACCAGTTGGGGGTCGCGGCATTAAAAAGGTTGAGAACCACTGATATAGAGTATATACTCAGATGCTACCTTAATAACTCTTAGGTCCTTGATTAGGACTTGAACTGTTAAGTTTTTATCAGTCTCTGACGGTGAATTGAAATGAAATTAAAACAATAATAACAACAACAGAGTTGGAAGGGGCCTTGGAGGTCTTCTAGTCCAACCCCCTGCTCAGGCAGGAGATCCTGTATCATTTCAGACAAATGGTTGTCCAATCTCTTCTTAAAAATTAGCAGTGATGGAGCATTCACAACTTCTGGAGGCAGGTTGTTCCACTGGTTAATTGTTCACACTGTTAGGAAGTTTCTCCTTAGTTCCAGGTTGCTTCTCTCCTTGATTGGTTTCCATCCGTTGCTTCTTCTCCTGCCTTCAGGGGCTTTGGAGAACAAGTGGACCCCCTCTTGTTTGGGGCAGCCTCTCAAATATTGAAACCCTTAGTCCTTCTTTTCACTAAGCTAGACATACCCAATTATATTTTATTCTTGAATATTATGTTATTATCTTGAATATTACTAGGCCTGATGATGGTTAAGAAGATCCAGAAGCCTTGAACTGAACAAGCTGGTTGCATTCCGTGGAAGCTAAAGTTGACAGGGACGCTGAAAAGAGTCTCCGTTTGATGGAATTCTCTCAACAACCAAACGTGGCTTCATTCTGGCTTCTGATTGTCCACCAGAGAAGCGGTTAATGCTGTCTTATTTTTCTTCAGGAAGAGTGAAGAGTGATGGAGGCTTAATGAAGAGGTTGCGAGAAAACCAAAGGAAATCTTCAAAACCAATTCATCATTACAGTCTACCAATTTTGTAGAGGTTCTTTGCACGCTAAAGCACATTTTATTGATTTTCCCAAGCATGATAAGTATGAATGTTCCCCCCAAAAAATAAGTATAACGCCACAAAACTTTTCTCTGCTGAAAAACAAAAAGAAAAACTTCCCTTCAAAATGCCTTTTGCATAACGGGGCTATTTGCGACCCGTTCCTTTTGAGCAACCCTGGTTTATTCCAAATTAAATGTCTTTTCCATTAATGGTGCTAATAAAAAACGTTGCAGCGCTTATTGGCATGTATAATTCCATTCCTTTGTGTGTGCAGGAGGGAGAATTTCACTCTTCGTTCTTAAAATTGTGGCAGTGTTGCTTCTGTTAATAGAATCTCTGACAATGCTATCAACTTGACAAAGCAGTTGGGTTTTCATTGGAAAAAATAACCGATAGACATTATCTCAACATGCAGCTATCAGAATGATAAAATGATCCAGTGGAATAGTAATGAATCTTTAGACCAAACTCATAAATGATGCCGTATCCCTCCCCCTCTGT